CCCCAAAAAAAAGGGCGATGACCTTGGGATATTATCTTTTAGCTGGCCGGCCCAGGCAAATTATTTTATATTTTCACCCATCTGATTGCATTGAAATTCGAATTCAGGTCTGTGTTTCAACAGTTTGTGGGTGTACCAACTGAGATAGGGCAGTTGGTGTGCCCCTGTGCTCTATTCGGAATCGGAACAATGGGATTTCAGTTATGTGCCCTTTTTTTTTGTTGGGATCCCCCTGGTTTCCATTTCCTGATGTTTGCCAGAGACCCCCATCGGGACTCCGACAAAAAAGGAAAGGGGCACATAACTGAAGGACATGCGCGCAAGTCCAATGGGATTTAAGTTATGTGCCCACGTGGCTGCGTGGCTGAGTGGTAGTGCGCACATGTGACAGAAGGACATGTGTGCAAGTGCTTTGTTTTTTTTTTTTTTTTTTCGAAAACATAGAGGTGCAAGGCCCCTATCCGAGTGGTGGTGAGATGGAATCAGATGAACACAGTTTTAAATACAAAAATAAAGGGAAAAACCCCAATCCTCTCTTGGACTCAGCATGAGAGGGCCCCCTAGGTACTATGTGTTAGGGGCATCAACCACCCTCGCGCTAACACACCAAGCCCCCCATCATTAAGAAACGAGAGAGGAGGAGAAGCAGGAGGGTGACAGTGGAAGCTCCCTATCAATAGATGGAGCCTCCCCTGGGGTGATAGTGGTGCCTGCTCTTTTTTTTTTTCTTTTTTTTTCTTTCTTTTTTTAACCACTAGTACCTCGCCCAGTGTTGGGAAATTAGGGGAAACTGGCAGTTTTCCCAAACTCCTGAAAATTCGGAGGCCGGGCCGGGACGGCTGCCATTGATAAATCTGATCGGCCGCGGTCGTTTCGTTTCGGCCATCCGAAAAGGTTGGAGGCCCACCCGAGGCCCGCTATTTTCCCACGCGGCAAAGGTACTAGTGGTTTTCATGATGGTGTTGTAGAGGCCAGTCACTGAGTACACTGTGATCACCTGGAGCAGTAAGCCGTGGGTGTCCTGGAATATGAGACCACCTCCCATCCCATCCTCACGTCAATACTCCTAGCGCACCCCCTATCCCACTATCCTACCTCAGTGTGACCAGCACTCAGGACCATTACACTACCAATGGGCACGTAACTTGGAGCGAACAGCAGTGATAGGCACCAGGGCTGATAGGTTGCCCAGCCCTGGTGGGAGCGGAATCGGACGAGCCTTGTCGAACAGGAAGTTCGGACGCCAGGCCCAGACAATCTACTACAGGCCCCAAGAGACTCTGGGCCCTAGGTTTCAGACAGGGTAGCACCCGATGAAGCAGTCTTTTTTTTTTTTTTTTTTTTAAGAGAACACCTGTCTGTTTGCTAGTGGTGCTGATACGAGCAGACACCTCTAGCACCCATCCAGGGCTCCATCTATTGGTGGGGAGCTGCACCTGCTGGAAATTGGGTCCAGCGTCCCACAGGTACAATTGAATGTTTTCACAGGCATGTATGACGACGTCATTAAGCTACAGCTGCTTCAATGAAGCAGTCTTACCGTCCTTCCCCTAGCTTGCCCAAGGCCAGGCGGAACTCGGACTGGCCTGAGCGACTTATACCCCTACCCTTACCCCAGGGTCTAAGCCTGATATATAGTCACTAGACAGTTCTATTCGAATATCAGTAGGAACTCCGGTGGCCCACTCCTGTCCCTACTGCAGATACTAGACCCCACCCAGTGACTAGACCCCCCCAGTCTGATAGTTGTATAGTTTGCAATCTATGTGTGTACCTGAAGGCTATGTATGCTCCGTGTATCTATATCAACTTGAAGATGTACAGACAGCACCATGTGTGGAAACTTGTGTATGTAGCCCGTAGGCCATGTATAATTCGCAAGCTTTGTATATGCCCGAAGGCTACGTGTGCTCTGTGAATCAATGTATAGAGATGTATAGGCAGCATCATGTGTGTATATCGAAGAGAGAACGGGGTAAGCTGGACAAGGACCCCCCCAAGGTCGAACCAAGCTCGAACCCGTGACCTTGTAACGTGTAATCAAATGACTCTACCATGTGAACGACTAGTGGAAATGGCATGAACGTGTGATATGCCAGACTGGGGAGATCAACAGAGCACCCAAGACCAACAACCCCAAGCAACCCATGTGAAACCCAGAACCAACATACAACACCATGAACAACACTTGGGCGGTGCGCAGGCAGTGTCTGTAATAGCTAACCCGTGTCATCCCAAGGGGGTGTGTGTCCAGCCGTGCATCATTCTAACGCCCTGCCGGTGTCCATGCGCAAGGCTACGGAGTTGAACCCGCAACCTCATACCACAATGCGCATTTCCAACCGGTGCTCTAACCACTGAGCTACATCAACTGGACACCAGCATCACTATCACCAGTGAGGGATGTTTGAAAAAAAAAAAAAAAAAAAAAAAAAAAACTCTCTCTGCGTGCATGGCTGGAAAACTCTCTCTC